ATGAAAATGAGTCTTAATTAATATTGCACCTACGCTATTCGTTATTCGATAAATATTTATAAAAGTCTACTAAACATTCAACGCTCGTTTTGCTAAGCGATAACCAATAAATGTATTGGTTAGTGTTTTAAGAATGTTATCTCAAAAGCACAATTTGTTGTAATACAAAATATATAACATTAACAAAAAACACTGTAAAAAGCTCAATTATGTTTAGTATACCTACTACCTCTATAGAAGCCAACGATAACATAAATTGTTTTTAAAACTAAATAAAATTGTGTTAAAACTCATTTAAATTTAATATTTTCATAGCAAATTATTTAGGCCATACAATTGTTAAAAACAACTCAATTAACCTACCTGGCCAGTAGGCATACTGTGTATAGTACTATAGTACTACATGTGCTTGTCTATAATCAGATCTATTAATGTCGTTTTATTACTTATTATTATTTGATTAGACTGTTTTCAAATATTTATAGAAAAAACGTTACCTATTATATCTCCTTTAGTTATTTATTTTCTATAATACGATAGGACTATTTTTTGTTTTAAAACATTATTTAAACTTAATTAAGTTAATATCTTCTAATTTTGTATATAAAATGAATGTACTTTTGTGTGCAGATTATAGACTTGGAAACTAAAGAACAAATTGGCATCAAATTTTACAAATATTTTCTTCGAGACTCAAGGAGTACTTATAGTTTCATTTTTCAATCTCTATAGATACGATAGCTTACATATAAATTCTGTTTTGACCAACAAAAATCAATTATCGTTTTATTGGGGTTTGTTAGGGTTGCGAGTTTATGACTGTAATTAGCTATAGAAATAAAAGAATACTTTATATAAATAAATGTATGTTAGCTTATATACTAAAATACTACTCAAATCATTCTTAGAAAAGTTTAGAGATTAGTTTGGACCATGAAGAAAATATATTTAATGCTATATCTAATCTACAACAGGAGGATTGCCCATCTCAGATGAATTAGCTCACAAGACGAAATGCACCGATGCCGATTTTCTCGTGAACTAAATTACACGAAAACTTAAATACATCTATAATATAGTATTATTATATTATACGAGTATATTTTTTTATTTTTTAAATAAAGTTTACAGCAGCTATTTATGTTATAAAAAAAATTCGTAATATTAATTTATAAAATGATTTAATTATATAATTTGTAATGCTAGGGTAAATTGAGGATAATATTATTTTCGACAATAAAATAAATATAACTTTAAAGAATGAAATAAACTTAAAATCTAATGAAAATGAATAATATATCTGACCTCGGATCATGGTAAGAGATTCGTTGAGACTTACAAGAACTTACAAATGCAATATTGTCAGAGTTAAGAACAAATGAAATACAAGTGTAGGATAAGTAAAGGCAAGGTTATAATAATGGTTCAAGTATGAAATACTGATATAGAAAAATAAATTAGATATAAGTTATGCATTTTTATTTTTTTGTATCAAGTCATATTCATACACTCAATTTAATTTTAAATCGTGATGCTAAATCATCAAATAAAGCAATCAATTTTTTTTATTTAAGTAGAATACTGAAACAATACTGGTATTGAAATTATTGATTTTTTAATAAAAATATAGAGTAACAAGAGTTTTAATGCATTTTTAAAAGATGCTTAAACCATGACTACTAAATTATATATTAAAATTTCTTTCACGTAACGAGGTTCTATTTGCTCTAAAAAAAATAAAACTGTAGTTTTTTCTTATAAACAATCTGATAAACCCATAATTTATTTAAAAACTTAATTTAAAATGTAATTTTACTTTTATGTATAAGACGTAGATCAATTCTCTTGAAAAAAATCAACAAATGTATAACCACTTCGATAATTTTAAGTTTTTGTATGATATGAGTAATTTAAAAAATATGATAAAAGATAATATTATGAAAAATTGTATAGATCTTTAATTGTCAATTTAAGAGAATGAAAATGTTAGTATTGTAAATATTTATGCAATAGAAATGGCAGATGAGTTAGTAACAGTATCTGAATTATTAAAATTCAATTATACTCCATTGAAAATATTACAGCTTATTATAAATAATTACAATTTTGTACTTAATGTATCTATAGCACTTAATATTATTTTAAAAACGCCTATATCGATCACATCAGGCTAACGTAGCTTTTCCAAATTAAAAACAATTAAAAACTATTCAAGGTCTTCTATGAATCAAGAAAGGTTAAGTAATGTTGCCATAATTTCAATTGAAAAATAAGTGATGAAAAATCTTGTTCAAAAATGTATTAAATGACTTTGCACATAAAAAAAAGCTTTCAAAGTATTTTTCATTTAAAATATTTTTAGTTTTACAGTTATATTTTTTAATCAACAATTTAATAATTATTATTAATGTACGTTATTATATATAAGTACTATATAATATCAGTTACTATTTAATAACTTGTTTTATTTTCATAACATTTATTTTTATTTCTATACTTTTCATATTTAGTAAAAAAAATCCGAGGTCATATAAAACGTTTTTATTTAAACATAAAAACAAGGATTGGTGGTTAAAAACGAATATATTTATTTTATATACCCCCTATTTCCCAAAAAATTAACTATTGAATAAAGCAGCGAAAATTAGATTTACCTAGACCGGAAAAACCAAAAGCCGGTTTTGTAAAAAGCTAAATTAATCTATTTTTTCAATATTAAACAAAATATCTTGACTAAATGAACTTGAAAAAATGTTTATTTAATTATTTTTTAATATATATTTTTTTTTTTTTACTAACATTGCATACTAATGTTTTGAAATATATCTGCAAAATTTAAAACATCAATCAATATAATTTACAGTTTAAATTAAAAAATAATTATATGTATTTAAATTTAAATTTGAATAAAATGTTACTAATTGTTTACAATAATAGTGTTAAATAAAGAACAAATATTAAAACAGTGCATTGTTAATAAAAAAATAATTACAAAATTATTTGTTAGTTACTTATTTTGCATCCTTGTTATTTTAAAACAGTAAAGTAAATAACTGAAAAAAATTGAATTCATGAGAATGGTAAACTTATAATCAGTAAATGAATTATTGAGTTATAATAAAATTATTCATCGTTTGCATAGTGACTTCGAAGAGCTTGTTATTGAATTGAATGTTCAAAGAAATATAAAATAAAACTAATAGTATGGTGGAAAGTAATGTAATATATAGAGTAATCAATGATAACCTGACGTTTATTAGGATTTAACTGCATTCAGAAAGATGGACACCACCAACCCAACATAATCTTTCAGAATTCGCAAATGTCTCAAATGATGTATCTGTAATTATAAACAACTTTATGTATTTTAATTTTCAATAAAAAAATAATTGAGTACTGTTAATTTCAAAAACGTCAAATTCTCGCCGATCTCTCTATATATCTAAATATTAAATAATAAATAATAATTAATAACAAATCAGTACTATGAAAGAATGCTCTAAAGTAGGTTATAAAAATGTAATTAATATTCAATTTCTATTTGTTAATAACATTTGGTTCTCTTTTTTTTATTTTTACTATCATATGATACATATATTGTACATTTAATGTCTGTATAATTTATTTTTATCATTATCATCATTTAGTATTTGTATACTCAAAAAATCCAAGTATAGACATCAAAATATAGTAAAATATTTTAAAAAATAAATTAAACATTTTAAATTGTAAATAGATATGTATATTTACTTTCAAAAAAATTGAGACTCATTAAGCAAGACGATTCCGGTTATTTTGAAAAAAATATTAACTAAAGGGTTTTTTAATGATATTTTTGTTACTATAGCTTCTAATGATCGTCCATCTCTGAGGTGCCATTTGGAGGATACCAGTATATATTTTGGTAACTCTATTTTTTTTCTCGTCTAATTATTAATTATTAATATGTCATACAATTTACAAACGCACGATAATCAATGCATAAAAGCCAAAATATATTATGAAAACTATATTATATACAATATTATTTATATAGAGATGAAACTGTTTATTTATTATTTATAATTACGGCTATGTTGATTAAGGTATTATTGATAAGCTGTATGTACTTTAAAAGCTATTTCCGTCATTGATTATATAAATACTAATATATATATAAATGTATAATCAATGTTAGTATAGATCATAAAATATGATATATATGATAGTATATATTATATTATTTGATTTTAAACTATAACGTGTAAAAAATACATTATTTAATACCAATATCAATTTAAATAATTATATAATATATATATATATATATTATATTAGTTTTTAAAATACCATATCACAACATTATTTTAAATTTTATACTAAGTTAGTCATAACTCATCATTAAAGCTATAATAACTTCTCTATTAATGCAATAGCACATATTATATTATATATAATAAATAGTTATTAAAAAACAAGTAGCAATAAATTGGTCAAGTGTCTGTTATCACGATGTCACTAAATTACTAAAAATTAGAAATATACATAATAATACCTAACCTAAAACTGAGTTATAGTTACAATATTTTTTCTGTAATATCAGTTTATAAGAATAGGTACACTTGAAACGTAAAAAACTACATTCACAAAAAAGTAAACGAACCTAATATTTAAAGCTTATCAAAGTCATTATCCATACAATAATTTCTTTCAGTTAATTTAAATTTTTTTTTTTTTTACAAGTAATCTATATAATATATCTATAATCACTCCACGTTACACAAATTAATTACAATAGGTTCCTAGTAAATTAAACTTGCCCAATACCAGAGATTTTACTCTAGACTTGTAGAACTGAACACTATGACATTTAAAAAAATATATAAAATAAAAACCGTCGAGTTCAATTAAATTAAAACACGAGTTTAAATAAAACAATATGTATTCATTATGTTTAGTTTTATAATCATAAATTTTATTTATTACATTTAAAAATATACATTTAATATAGTATTAGATAATTCACATTTTCATTATACTTTTCAGAAAATATGAAAATACATTTATGTAGATTAAAACTCCATAATCACTTACAGAACACACACTACGGCATACAAATATGCAATTAACTGCAATAATATTGTCCTGAAAAATTAAATATTTAAAGATTATTTTACTTTTAGTTTTCGCCAACTGGTTTTAATTGGACTCTTGACTTACCCATTAGAATCACTTTAATCCAATTCATGTTGTTGACTGTCGCCAGTCTGGTGTGCATAGACGGCATCGATTCATCACAGATGAACCTGTTACTAACTACACCAATAACGTTCAATCTTCCAGTAGATGGATCAGTCCATAGAAGAGGGCTGCCCGAATCAACTTGACAAGAATTGACTTTAGTAAAATGTGTACACAACGAATTACGGTCGGTTTCGTTTTTATAAATTTCGGCACATTGTGACGTCGGTACAACCTTAAGGTACGATTTATGGAGAGTGCCAGATACAACATGTTTATTAAAGCTTACAGTTCCCCAGCCTGCAGCGATAGAAGATAATATTCATTATGAAAGTTGGTTAATAAAATAAACAAAAATCGAAAATAAATAGACAACAACAACGTAGATATAGATTCAAAAAAAATTGACGATAACTTACCGAAAACTTTGACGATATCGCCAACGAAATCAGTGTGGATGTGCTTGAATGGAAAACATGCCGGTCCTACTTTAGATGAAAATGGAATTTCTTCTTCGGTTTCAACAATGGCCAAATCATGAGCGACGGATGACGGATCAAACAACGGGTGTATATAAATTTCACTGACCACCACCAATAAATTCGAATCGATACCCCTAGCTGACAATCGATATGCGCACATTACATATGTTATTCTGTATGAATTTTTATAATAAAATTATAGTATTATGTTCTGAGTTAATCAAATATTAAACAATTTGAAAAATTTATTCCAAAATATATGTTGATTAAAAAAAGGAACGCATAGTAAATTTACTTTTTATTTTTAAATTAATCAAATGTAGAAAAATATACCAGCAATACTATAATGAATAATGATGTTAAATTTAAAAGAAATAATACTATTTTATCGTGATATTGTTTTAGTACAGTACAATATTATCGAAAAAATATTAATAATCCATAACACAATTTCATATTATATTACGGCCTAGTGATATATTATCTAATATTTTGTTCGTATTATATTACTGTGTCATACAAATATTATATAATCTCAATTCTTAAGTAATAAATAAAAAATTTAATACTAATAATTTTTATAGTTTAAAAAAAGAGCATTTACTAAACATTAAAAATTTAATTTAATTTATCTACTCATTATAACCTAATCCTAAATAACTATTGCTATAATACTATAAACCGTTAACTCTAAAATTATATTATAACTTAAACAGGATTATCTTAATACATACCATATTAACGTTGAAAAAATAAAATAATATGTTGGATATTATTAAATAATTTTAGATTCTGAACGAAGCGATGAATGTATTGATTTTATAATGAGAAATTTTCAATTTTTTATTGAGTTTTTCTTTTTAAATGTCAATTAAAAATTGTTCGCTAAGTAAAACTTTTTAAAAATGTAATACAAAGCTTCCTATTAGATTTTATTTTTCAAATAAGAAATTTACATAAAAATGTATAGTCACAATTTTTTATAGGCATTTAAAATTAGAATCTTGACAAATTGCATAAGAATTCTGAAAATTAGCAAATTATTTTGTAGTTAAAAATGTATAAGAAATTATGTTTTTATACAAAAGCATTAAAAATTTAACACAATATTTTTTTATAAGTTTATCAAGCAATGTATAAAAAAATAATGTACTAAAAAGCCAAATCAATATTTATGAACTTTTTTTTATAAGTAATATAGAATCTATACAGTTATGCACATTAAGAAGGAAAAGTGAGAAAGGAAATAAAAATAACATTATTGATATTACGTGAATAAGAAGCCACCCATTTTTAGCACTTTACTTGGAATTTAAGTTATTATAGGATTAAATTTCCTATTGTTGGATTCCATACATCCATACGAGTTTCAGAAGAGATTTTTCTATTAGTAATTTAGTTTTTAAAGTTGAGAATTTATTTTTTCAGAACAAAATGTTTAAAATCGGTAACGGGTATTGAGTTGTAGGTTTTTTTTTTTAATATGATTTTGCAATATTAGTATTTTAAAAAGGTTAAGACCTAGATATTTAACAGTGTTATGAAGGGACAAGTAGATTATTTACAGTAATGGATAAAGTCCATGTCTTAAGGTGAATGTTGTATAAATGGATTTGTTATTATTTAATAGAATTCAACATTTAGTTTATGAGCATTTTAATTTAAAATTTTTACGACATTCAATATTTAACTATAAAATAATTGTTTCTTCTCAAACAATTGTTGATACTTTGTTATATTTCAAAATGTTTACCAAATTTTTATACTATCACTTTCATTATAAGATTACATTTTCAAATATTTTAATTATTTTTTGATCTATTTATAGATATGACAAGTTTTTAAAAATGTAAAATATTTAAAATTCTTGAAAATTTAATGCAAAATCTTATATGAATAAATTATTCTCACATCTGTATAAAAATATTAAAATATTTGTACAGTATAATATTGTATGTAATACAATTTTTTATATGCATTCAAAGTTAGAATTTTGACGAAATTCGTCAAAATCGCAAAAATTGCAAACTTTAATGTAGTTGCAAATTCATTAAAACTTTTTATTTTCTATATCTAAGTTTTGAAAATTTTGAATACAAGATTCCTCATGATTAATTCATACTACAATTAAAAAATCTAATAAATAAATAAAGACAATTACTTTATATAGGTAGATATTTTAAATTCAAATTAGGACTTAATTTTTTATTTAAAGACAATTCTTACATGACCGAACCATTCGTTGAACACATGATCACAGACTATCTAAAATCTATCAATACAAAATTAATCACAGGATATCCCACACTTAAACTCAATCATGAACAAAACCTTGACTTAATCGATTTTCTCAGTTAATCTAATTTGTTTAACTTTATTTAAAATCTAATTGTAATATAATATTTGTATACATAAGCAGTATGTATGAAGTACCGAGTAACTGTCATAACCGCGAATCCAAAAAAGCCAATGTCAAAGTAGCGACAGAAAAATAGCTTAGCATAAAATAGCTAAAAGATAAAATAGCGAATGTTCAAAATAGCTTAAGTATATTATTTTAAAATTATTATTCTTATTATTAATCTGTATTAATAGTATTACTTATAACTTATAAGTTATAAAGATATAGATAATCATAATCAGATTTATAACTGGGAGTTGTGGAATTATTAGAACATGATGTATTTGCCAAAGACTAATAATTCTGTCGAAGGTAATTAATTTTTATAAATAAATATATCTAAAATATATAAGGTATGTTCAACAGATTTTTACATATTATACAGGTTGAAATTGTGGTTTTAATAATTTACTTGGATCGGATCAATACTTTGGAAACTTATAGAAAGATTTAAATAAAATCAGACTAACGCGGAAATTAAAGTAGAGCAATACATAAGCAGACAAAATCCAATAAAAAATAAATAAAAAAATATCAAGATATTACATTAAGAATTTTAGAAATTCAAAAACAATATATGGAAAGAAATATTGTAAATTATTTGAAAGGCATTACCTAAAGTTTTTAAATTTTATTTAATGTATGACTAAACACTGATGTATCACTAAAAATTATTATAAATTATAATAATAATTTTAAACATTCACTATTATGTCTTTTAGCTATTTTGACATTTGCTTTTTTGGAATCACGGTATTGACGTGATACCAAAAGTACCATGTAACTAATAGAGTTAAAAAAAAATCAATAATGAAATGAAAAACGTAAATAAAAAAAAGCATTGTAAAAATAAAAATGCAATTGTATAAAAAGCAAAAGTAAATTTATCATGGAAACTAAAAAGTATAACGGTGTAAAATTTGACCGTTCATATCGCGATTTTATATTTATATAGGTACTAATAATACTCAATTCTGAAATAAGATATCAAAATCAGTTTGATATTCAAATAAATAAAACAGACCGTCTATAACGTCTAAAAGTTACATAATGACGTCTTAGTTTGTGTGCATGTTCCAAGCAATATAGTATAATATACAATTACGGCGTGTTTTATTAATTGAAATATCTCAACAATACCTACAGAATTAATTAAATTTAAGAAAAATAGCGATAAATTGTATTATCACATGTGCATCATAACATTTTATGATATATTGAAATTCGTTGTTTGAAGATGCTTCAAAGCGTCTAATATTAAGTTTCCAAGAAAATTCTTATCAAACGCTTTTTCTTGATAAAGTACATACACAACCGTCAAACAGGGATGAAGTTAAAGTCAATAAATGTTTAGTCCGTATGATGTATAAGGCTGCAACTTTCAATAAATCCTGTTGAAATTTATTGGGAAGAACTTGAAAATTTAGATAGCCAAACTCAAGCTCAAATACCATCAATTGAAATCAAATTCAACACACCCATAATAGTGATCTACACAACACCTAATGTACAAAAAATATTTTGTAGTTTAAGCATGTTTTATAATGAAACTATTATTGGATTGAAAAGTATACACCAATTCAACTATTTTTTATATAAATTAATTAACTGAGACACAATTTACATGGGCTATCTAAAAAAAATCTAACTTAGTTTTGTACACAAGACACACTTATAAAATAAATACTTTTTTAAGGAAAACGCTTAAGAATATTCAGATATTTAATAGAATATATTATTTTAAAGTACATTTGAGAATTTTATTTTTTATGTTAATATACCACAATAGTTATTTTTCTTATCTAATTTAAATTAAAAATTATACACTTTTTTCTTTATTGATCCATTAAAAAATTAATTTGAACTATCAATTTTCTTATGACTTTCAATGTTCTAACTTATCGTTATTAACAATTTTATAATTATTAAAATGTATAAATTTAAAATTTAAATGTTAGTTAAATTACTTTTAAACATAAATGGTTTAAATCGTAAAAAAAATAAATGAAAAAATGGTAGTTAGAGGACGAAAACCCTTTTATAACGTGACATAATTTTGTTTAGTCGTAGATCTTTTTTCACATTTACTGCTAAAAGTTCTTACAATTCTTAAATAATTTATATAATATAACACTTTTTATAAAAAGGTTCCACGTTACTTATATTTTTTTAAAAGACACAAGAGGGATTAACATTTAAAATATATATTTTACAGAAAATAATAAACGACCTCATTTATTCATTAATTTGTTCACAAAAATAAAACAAATCATATTAAGATATTTTCTTAAATAATAAATTGTGTTTAATAAAAACTAAATATTTTAAGAATAATAGAAAACTTATTATCGAATAAAAAAAACCCCTGTGTGTAATGTATAATCTAAACTTTATTAAATCTCAGAAAACAACATCTTATAACTTTTACTTTACGATGTAGATTAGGTACATATTACTTTGTAAATTTCAGATTTTAAACAAGGTTAAAAATATTTAATAAAAAGGTATAACCATTTTATAACCAGCGATAATTTTAAGTTTGCTTAAATATAATATATTTAAGTTTTGCTAAAATATATTAGTTTTTTTTTACTTCAACATCATCGCTTATAAAAGCAACAAAATATCTTCAGTTTACAACTATGAGGATAGTTTTTGGATCTAGTTGGTATTTAAAAGTTAAATTTTCCCAGTACTTTTCAAGATAATAAAATTATAAAAAACTAAAATTAAATTACGCGTGGAAATTTGGAATATTTGTGTGAACCAATTATAAACTGAATCGGTATTGCTTTTTTCTTTTGTTATAATTCAAAAACGAATAACTATAAAAGATATTTTTAAAATTATAGCAAAGGTTAGGTTTAGCAACTTAAAATTTTTTACATGGTTCCTATTTAATGTAATGTAGGCAATTATTAAGAAGGGATTTTTGGAAATTGGTTTTAATGTAAATATAGAAAAAATTATTCCACATATTATATTATAATACTATCATAGGTATTTTTCACGAGTTTATTAAGATCGTTCTAAAAATAACTGAAACTACCTGAAAATAATATTAGTTTTATAATTAATAATTATATAGTTTTAAATTTTTTATGAATTGAGTATCAAATAATGTATTCGAATAAGGTTTGTGTTTTATATTTTATCGTATTGTAGTAATAAAAATACGAATATAATATGCTTTACATACTTTTATCTTTTTAGCGATAGTATAGTATTCTATGAACTACACTGGTTATACAACTAGTAACTGTTCATAGTGAAAAAATCTCATAGTATTATATTCAGTGAAAAAAGCAAACGTATAAATATGTCATTGGTGGTTTTAAATTTTCATTTCATAAATGCCTAAAAAATTATATCGAATTATGGCAATGTATAAAAAGAACATGTAAATAAAAATTTAAAATGAAATAATTATTGAAAAACATCTCACACAACCATGAATTCAAAGAAAGAAATATTTTAACCAGGCGAATAGAGACTAATTCTTTAAAATGAAAAGTACAAGAAAGTTCTCGTGAAAAGCCATTTAAGTTATTGCATAATGAATTACAGAGTGATATAGAAACACTAACATATAATGATTATATTTGATTAAAAAATATATGCACGATAGTAGAAAAAGTATTCAACCGAGTATTTCTTAAAGTTTAAACAATATTTATAAAACACTAAATGATTTTAAATAAAAACAAATGGTGAAGAAGACTTTTTATTAATTAATGATAGTGTAAATAACATAATTATTTTTTCAACTGAAAATTTAAAATTTAAATGTAAATCTAGTATAATTTATATGAGTGGCACGTTTAAAAGTTGTTAAAATATTTACACAAATGTTCATTATTCATACTATTTATAATAACCACTATATTCCTATTATATTTTATTTGCTAAATCGTAGAAGTACAGAATGTTATTCACAAACTTTTACACATACTTTCAATGAATGCAATAAACAAAATTTTAAATTGTATACCTTTAATTGTTTATGCTGATATTAAAGTAACAGTTTACATAGATCTATTCATTATTTATTCAAAAACAAATATTAAAAGTTTTAAATTTCATCTAGGCTGAAATTTATAGTGAAAGATCCAGAATCTAGGATTAAGAGGTGATTATAAAAAAAAAAAAATGTAGAGTAGGTATTTACCTAAAACGTTTTTTTGGACATTCGTTCTTACCACCAAACAAAGTTGAAAACTGTTTTACAAACTATTTGAAGTTCTAAATCAACCAAATGACTAACAATAGCAAAATTTCACGAAATATTTATTAAAAAATTGTATTAATCTAAACGTAAAATTCCCTCCAATATTATTGTCTGAATTTAAACCTAGTACAATAGAGACTACAAACCCATGAGAATTCTTTGATTTACACTTCATTTCTATGTTTTATTTTGTTAACCCAAATACATTTAAATTTATATATGTTTTAAAAAAAATAATTAAAATCAACGTTATTAATAAAATGAGAAATCCAGAGGAAAGAAAAAAAATTGTATAATATCTAAGGAAATTTCGTAAATTAAAAAATTACAGAAAAAATATTGGGAAAAATTAATTACTACGAATTTGTTGAATCTATATCTTGTAAAAAATGTAAACCCAATAATTAACTTATTAACTATTGAACAACCAGACGACAAATGTTTGTAAATCACGAAAATTATAGTAAAGATTATAAAATATAATATTTTAATCATACCTATAATAACTAGATGTTTAGATACAAGTAGTCCTATATCAGTAAAAATAAGAAAGACATTTTTTTTTTTTTTTGGGGGGGGGGGGGAAGGGACTCAACTGGTACAGTATGGTTTTTAAATTTTAACACAGGACCCAATTAGTACAGCATTGATCACAACATGGTCAACATGGAACGTGGACTAGTACAATATAATTTTTTACACGGGACCCAATTGGTATACAATATAACTCTGAGACCCAACTAGAGTGTGCCGAATTTTCTCGGGAAGAGAGGGTACAAATATATCTAAACCGATTTGCTCATGAAACTATTACAATCAAATATCGAAATATACAGAACGTCGTATTTATTAAATTAGTTCGTTTTTTACCGGGCGAAATCGTATAATATATTGTAATACGTAGCTGGCATATATAATATATATGCAATATAAATATTGATACAAATATTTTGCACATGGTGTTTATATTTACCTACGAGATATTTTATTGTTTGAACCGTACACAAAATATATGTATAACGCGTGATACAGTACATTATCGCCTTACGGGTCTATGAAGTACTTCTTGTCCCCCCCCCCCCCGGACGCGAATTCCCAAAACCAATACATGACAATCGTTTATTAGTATTTTAATGTACACCAACCTAGAGAGGTCATGTCGTGGTCGCCGACGAGAAGGGTAATTCGAAAAAGATTAATGTTTATCAGACAGTGGGCTGCAGTCAGTGCGTGATGTCTGTCGATGACCGTCGCGCTGCAAAACATTTTTGCTGTCTCCCCGTCGATCAGCGAAGCTAATAACGGATACTCGCTCACGCCGGCTGTTCCCCTATTCGTGAATTTTCCCTGTGAATATCGAGATCTATTAGTCTATGAATTTGTTATAAACCGATATAAAAAGACCATAAAATAACACAATTGAACATCAAACAAATTAATTAAGATAAAATAATTGTTCCAAGTATATAATATTATAGGTACACGATTAATGTAAAATAATGAAAAATTAAAATAAAACTTTAGAGAAATGTCAAATGTAGGTACCTATTCATAAAATGTTGAAGTGACTCTTTAGTTTTTACTAAAAACACCATCTATATTATAATTCATAAGTTATGATAGTTACAGACTTATGAGTATAAGATATAATATATGCACATAGAAAAATATTTTCATGAATGATTTATTTTCTGATTAAATATAATTATAATGTTTTATGTATATTCTGATTAAATTAACAAATACGACATTAGTTGTATCCTGACATAGTTTTGGAAATTATTGTATTTATTGGGTTTTAATAGACTTCAGTTACAAAACATTTTTAAAATATTTATAGTCAAAAATATGAACTAACTAATGAAAGAAATTGTAATAGAAAAATTATATATTCAAATAGCAGGAGTTATCCTGATTAAAAGTTGAAATACACTGATCAAATATACTATTACTACATATATTGTGTATTTAAAATTGTGTTTAATCTTCAAGGTAATAAAAGTGAGTTTTCTCTCCAAGCTTACATCGAAATTTGCAAAGCAATGCGGTTGTATTCCCCGTGAAAATATAAATTATAAATTTATATCATCTCTCATGTTAAACTTTTCGAAATGTTTCCACGAAAATATGAACTTTGCCTTATGTTGCGTCAAAATAACACAATTCTCCGGTTTACAAAATACCTGTATCTATTCATGATAATTCAAGAAACTGCTGTCCTCTACGAAATTTCAGAAAAGTTTAAAAATACTTTCAATATTTTGTAATTCGTGAATGTATTACGTAATACGAAACTATGTATTAACATTATATGGTTTGTACAAAGGTTACTGAAATGGTCTTAAAACTCTAAAATATTATAAGCTAGTTAAGCTTCGTCTACAAATAACAAATGAACAACCACCCCTCACCCCTTCCCCATCCCAAAGCAAAGTCTTAATTATAATAATTATTACAATTTTCATTATTATCGTTATAGTTTTATACCTGGTGTTGCACTCCACATTCGCAAAAATTCGAGTTCGTCACGATTTCCGAGCTCCGAAATTCTGCGAGACTCACACCCATCAAGCATGAGAACCGTCCGCCGATAGTATGACGTTTCGCTACGAATTTAACGTACATACTGTTGGTGAGGCTGATAATCGTGTACGAATTGGATCCACAGTATCTGATACCATCCGTAAAGTTAGCGTTGCCAGTTCGAGACACGATTAATGCGTCCGATTCACAAAGTTGACTCTATGGAAAAACATACACGCAGTTAACACATCAAAGCATTTATAACGATTATGTAAAATATAAACCGTTTTGTTACAAATACACAAACATCTATAAACAGAATTATGTATTTTATTTTATTTATATGCAGATTTAGTGACACTTAATTTATTATTATTTATATGCTAGTGCCCAAATTGCTAATACGACTGATACTAAATGTAACAATAATAATTTAACTAATATATACAATATAATAAAATATTTAATTTAAATGATAAATAAAATATAAGAATAGCGATCATAAAAGAGAGTTTCATTTTATTGTTAGTTGGAAATGGATAGGAATATTTGTACGTGTATAAGACAAGGGACATCAATCCAGGTTCAAGAATTCACCGTAGGTATATATTAAATTTATAAAGAGAAAGAGAGAGAGAGAGAGAGAACGAGAGAGTAGATTTCGGATGAGATAATTTATTTTCGTCGAAGAACTTTTTGAAAAATGTATTATTTGCTTTATATTTTATACCCACGGACTGCGATCAAATACATGTATATTTTTCACCTTTCGATATGTATTAGTTGTTACTATAAGAATGTATACACTAAAAATGTATCAACTGAAATGAGCTATAGAGAGTTGAGACAAAACAAGGATTTTATAAAAATAAAGCTATAATCAAGTATGGGTCTAAGTCTAACAAGCGATCAAAATGTTATTAACCGTTAAATATTCGCTGGTCAAATAAGTTATATTATAATAAAGACTTGAACTCAAGTGTGTTTGCAGATGGGGCAATCTTATTAAATATTCACCAGTACATGGCACAGAATATAGGTACCTACGCATTAACCAGGTGCGTTGCACAATAGTTTTCGGGTAAGTAAATACTGGCATACCTCGGGCAAATCAAACGCGTAACAACTCAACACCAACCGGTCGGTGGGCGAAGGCGTCTTGGCGAACCACCGGCATTCTCGGTCTTGCTCGCTGGTCGGGTACGGGTCTGGAAAACCTGGCGAGTACAAATAGTACGAACTGTTGCCGGGCTCGATGATCTGGTAAAACTCGCAGGCGCTGCCGTCGAAACGATAATAACCGTAATCGTAGTAGTCTTCCAATTCCGTGGCACAAGTCGTCGTGACGGCGCAGCACCACCACAACATCAACCACGCACCGATCGTCGACAATTGCGTCAACAGAAATGATGACGACGACGACTGACCGCCACCGAACGTCATCCCGCGGTGCATCATCAAATTTTTATTATTATACGGTTTTCGGGTTTACCGCGTTCTTGCACGAGTCTCGCGTGTGTAATGGTTATATTATGGTATATATCGCGAAAAACCACGAAAATTCAGACTTTTCAGTCGTTAGCTCTGTTGGACGGCGCACCACCGTCAGTTATTGTCGAATGAATCGGACGGCTACAATGTGACGTGCGGGGAAGGCCGCCGACGTTGCATTAACGATATAATTATATGGCGTAATACATCATTATCGGTAAATTATAATATATGGACAATGCGCACTGCAGCGCACATATACCTTACAATAACACCGCGGTAGATAATGGTTTACATATGCATATAATAGAAATCGAATAGGAAACGCACCGGCTCGCCGACGGTTTTGAGTCGTAATTCAATTAATTAAACTTGGGGTGTCGGCAGATAATTGCGCACGGTAGGTATCTAGGCATAGGTATAATAACAGTTAAAATATGCAGACGCTGAATATTTTAATTAGAACGCGCTCGGCGGCGATAAATACAATTTCTCCACGTGTCGCCGTCCGACCCGCGGTGTGTGATCGCCTTTTTCGCTCACCTAGACAATGAGTGAAACAATACACTGCATTTTGATGAAAAATAAATAAAATGATACTACAAAGCCGCCGGGCGGTTAGGTTAAATGGATGACCACAACTGAACGTAAAGAGCGGGTGGGGCTTGGGATCGTTAATCGTGAAAACAACAATAAATTACTAAAATTCGACCAAACGGTTTTAAGAGATGTGCTGGTATTAATCAAAAAAAATTATAAGCTATTTGTAAAAAAATGATATAAATATAAATATTATATTGTGTCTTAATCACAATATATATATATATATTTAATATAATCTAAATATATCGATTATACTTTCACAATTTTTTTATATTAAAAAAATAAATGAATACATTAAAACGTTGAATGTTTAACCATCCAGGATTCTGTAAGTCAGTTATACTCAATCTCTTTTTTACCTAGGCCACATATGTATTTTTGCTACGCTACGCAGGCCGCAATATATAATTAAGTCACTTTGTTGAAAAGAAAGAGAAATGAGTGATTCATAACGAATAAAAATTAATCAATTTTGATGGGTCACAGGATAAGTGTTATGAGTTGACTTATGAGTCTACATGGCTATATTATATTATAATATATTAATATAATAATGTAATGCCGAATCGACTCTGAGTAGCCGTAATAAATCTGAGCCCTCTCCGAGATTTTTTATTATTATAATATAGATTAATAAAGAAGAGGCAAAGAGGTAAGAGTATTACATGCCATAATAAATAACCCTTATCAGTCATTATCAAGGAGTATTATTAAACACCGCCCAAATTTTTTTAAATTTAAACATTCCATTTCCATTTGGGAATATAAAAATTCGAATAAAAACATTGAGTGAAAATTGGGAAAAACAGTGAAAATCATTCAATGTCTGGAAGTCTTTTTTGATAAATGATTCGAACATAAAAATATCCAACTTGCGTGCATTACTAACAGCACATTGGATTGCTAATAATAGAATTAGAACTGAACAAAACAAATGTGACTATGCTCTGATAAATAGAATATCAATATATCAGAATGATCTAATTGAGAATGTAGTGAAGAACAAACAATCTGTATTACGTTGAATTATGTTCTACATCTAAATTTTAAGAAGCCATTCAATTTCTTGAAATCGAGGTTGAAGCTGTCGAGTAGTTGAAAATTTATTTCTGCGTTTATAATCTTTATTCATGTGAACATTAAAATATCACAATTTTAATAAAATTATGCCCCGTTAAATTGCGTGTGTTATTAATGTGGTAATTTATTTACTTCGAAAGTGTATGAGTATACGTCTAAAGCTGTAATATATTATATGGAATAATAAGCCACGATAATAGTTTATGTTATAATAAAACATGCTGAGGAGGCATAAACAACATTCATAAACACAGTACTATTACTCAAAAAATTATTATAAAAGTAGCTTAATCCCTTTCGTCAACATACCCATCAACCGGGTTTTTTTTTAACTATACGAATATATTATCTGTTTATAAATTTAAATAATACATTAAACAAATTCTTATAAAATGTATACAAAGACACATACTCTATGATATAGAAATTATATAAAGAAGAACAGGAAAGTTCATAAAATAAAACTATATATTTACTAATTCAAGAAGTTTCCCCGATTACATGGTAAAAAACTATAATCAACAATTTGGATAATAATTTAAAGAGTCTAATAAAAAAATTAAGTGAAATTTAGTCAAATAAAACCAATAATATACTCGTAATTAATAAAATAGTTAATAACTTAAATAAAAATATATATAACAATCATATTATAAAAATCAATATGTGTTAATATTTAAAGAAACTTTGATGTTAATATTAGTAATATAATTTAATCAATACTGATTTATACTTAAAAATTGCACCAAATTTTCAACTATATAAGAAATTATTGTAGATATACATTATTATTATATTAATCTAGGAATTCTGTATACCAGATACGAGCTTAGCTCAATAAGTGTAGGTACGTATTAACTCTTATTATTTATTATTATTATTATTGTATAAAATTAAATTATGCTAAAATAAATAATAATAAAATATATTTTCGTGTATGATGTAAAGAAAATATTTAAATTATTTTTTTTGAAATAAATAAATTTATCAAAAAAGTATGCACTTGTCTACTAAATATACTATTTAATACGCATATTATTATGCATTTTCGTATTCTTATACTTGTATTTAATTAGAAAACAAATTAATGACAATCGTAGTAAATGTATTACCAACGTTCAATTTTAATTGTATTCATTATAATATATAGGGTCGAGGTGCTCACAGTAGTATTTTTTTTATCTTTCCGATAACAATTTATCAAACGTTTTTTTATTTAACAATTATTTATTTTAATTGAATCGCGCAGTTATCGTTTCCAACTAGTAAAAAAAAATTAAACATTTTCAAATAAAAATAATAAAATTTAACAATCTTAAGTCACTAGGGTAACATATTTTTATTGATATAAATATTTGTAATATTTACCCATAATTGATTTTATTACATAAATTATATCAAAAAAACATTAAATGGATATACTCACAACTAATTTAAAATTGAAACGTTAGAAAAATTAAATATTTGATCTTTATATTGTAGCTTCAGGTAAAATAATGAAGATATAGGTACACTTCTATCAAACAATGCTCAGTTATTCGATTAAAATAAACAAAATTATACCACAATAACCTAACTGAGACATTAGAAATTGAAATATTATAGCTGGTAGAGAATGATATTTCAAAATTGTAGACGCAAACGAACAGTTTTATAAATATATAAAAACATAACTTGTAGATTAATTTTAAATATTATGTTTTTCCATAAAATATGAACAGTCTGGCACAACAATTAAAAATAATAATATTTATAGATTTATAATACTATTCACTAAATTTAAAAACAAATATAATGATATTATAATTACTTGTTATTTAATTTATCACCTTAATAACATTCAAAAGTTAGTTTAAACTAGGTTGCATTTATAAAAGCCAAATTCAGGCTGTAAATTGATGGTTGAAGCTTGGTTAATTTGTAGGTATATTGGGCCTTCCTCACACACTAAAAACATACAACTAAATATCAGTCATGTTTTTATCTAATGATTCTAATTTATAATTACATTGTTTAAAACTTTACACCACATAATTAATATATTATTATATCTCAAAATATCGTGTTTAAATAATCATGCACTTATTCAAATGAATTTCCTTAGATTCCTGTTAGTCAAATTAATTATTAAATATTTCAATATTTATTATTTTACTATACAGATGGTACGTGGGCACGTGGCCATTTCATTTATTAAATAAAAATGGCTGAAAAAATAAACGATATACAAACGTATAATATTCTCAATGTCATATATTCGGAATACAGTACTATACAAACTTTAGTATTGTAGTAGGTAAGTATATAAAACGAAAAGTGAAGACTTATTTATTACATTATATTATTATGTGTGATAGTTAAGTTTTTAATTATTGAATTAATTCCAGTATAATGCAAAATGATAAACACTATAATATAGCTCAAATACGATTTAATCTGTAGGCCGTAGGGTGTTAAGTAGCGATCAATAGTTACGAGTTTATAAAATTAAAATATAAAATTCAGTTTCATTGAAAATTATATCTTATACTGCGATTTTTCAACGCACTAAAACAGTTGAAAGTCCTTCAATTGTGTTTTTCACAATATTTCTAACACTACTGAATTTTCCTTACTGTCAAAATAACTCTGCGTTAATTTATCAAATCTGACATTGACAAAGTAATTTAGCGTTTTGTTCGGGTATTTTATCACCATGAGCTATTGAAAATTCATTGTCAGGACCACTTAGGAAACGATAATACTGAGATTAATATTAAAAAAAAACTTAAGCTGAAAATCTCTAGAAAGCAATAGTACCTACTAAATAAATCGTTACAAATCATTAAGAAAACCATAAGAAAATGTTCAGAATAAAATGTATGTAATTATATAAAAATAAAATAATAAAAATAATTTTTCAAACCAAATGCTGCATATTTAATAGACTGAAATTACTATTTCTCAATACATGTTTAACATAGGTATTCACTCTTACTCGACTCTTTAACAAGCTTATTAATTAACATCGAAATCAGTAACAGTCAAGATAGATTTTAATAATATACAGTTAGATATTATAGAATTTTACAAGCATTTTAATACTTCTTAAGATTGTAAATACTTATTAAATTTTATTTTTTATCTTTAATTTAAAATTAAAACTTTTCATTTCTGACTATGAGAATTTTAAGATTCTAGAATTCAGAAAATTATTTATTTTTGTAAATTATCTACTGTTTTGCTACATTTAGTTAGGTATATGAAATATATTTTTATTTTTGTTTTTACAAACGACAATTTGTTATGTTGAGTCTCAAAATGAGAAGTTGTAATGAATGTATATTTATAGTTAAGCGTAGGTGAAAGTGTATAGTGAATACAAGTAAAACCACTTCAATAAGTATGGAATATTAAAATGCAAAATATTTAACATTTTAAATCCTAGTATCGGCAGCGGGTGATGCGACCATTGTATTTGATTTGATGATA